CAACAACAATCAGCCAGGCATGGTTACATGCACAACAACAACAATCCGCCTGTCGTGGTCATAAGCACAACAACAACAATACGCCCGGCATGGTCATAGTCACAACAACAACAATCCGTTCGGCGTGGTCACAGGCACCCAGTCCAATCGTATCACACATGAGCAATTACACAAGAATACATGTATGTGATAAATGAATATCCAATCTCATGATCCTGGACTAGTATAAATGACATGCTAAAGTGTAGGCATGTGCAAGGTGTTCTATCATAGCTCAAATCGGCAATTTGATCACAAAATAGCATTTATCAAGTTCATTCAGGGATTAAACCTCTACATAGACTCTAACACGGCCTAAGCACAACCTGAGCATGGATTAATACCCCCAGTGCTAGGACATAGGCTCAAACTCCACACATGTGCGCACCAAATAGCACGTAGCTAACGTAATAATTCAGGCAACTAGTGCGTCAACCAAGTTTAGATAAGATACTTACCTCAAGCTAGCCAAATTACTCCCTCAACAAGATCTTTCCACGCATATCAACTTCCAGAAGGCTCGAATCTAGCCAAAATAATGTAATATTATCAGCAAAAGCTATATGAATTGATTCTAAATTATAAAGCTAAGATCTTTAACAAAAGTCAAAAAATCAACCCAAAATGTCATCCCCGGGCCCACGCCTCGAAATCCGACAAAATTTATAAATTCCGAACATCTAATTAATAACGAGTCCAACCATACAAAAATCATCAAATTCCGACCTCAAATCGACGTTCAAACCTTCATTTTTCATTTGTGCAAAAGTTTCCACAAAATCCCCTATTTCTTCACTTTAATCTACTAATTAAATGCTAAAACAAAGATGGAATCATGATATAATATCAAAACCGAGTCCAAAACACTTACCCTGATCTAAGACATGAAAATCCCCTAAAAGATCGCCCGAAATCGAGCTCTACAACTCAAAGTGTGAAATAATACTCTAACCCACGATTTGGGAATCTAAACATTCTGCCCAGGTGCTCTTTTTTATGAACGCAAAAAATGCCTCGCATTCGCGAAGCACAAAAATCCTCAGCTGCCAAAATCTCCTTCGTGAATGCAATACCTCTATCGCAAATGTGATAACCTTTGATCCAATGCCTACGCGAACGCGACCCCTCTCCCGCAAATGCGATGGCTAAATGCCTGGTGCCCAAGCCGGCCTCATCCTTCTACGCGAACGCGAGTCCCCTCTCGCGATCGCGATGCACAGACCCATTAGACCTTCGCGAACGCGTGGCCTTCTTCATGAACACGATGAAAAAAATCTCCTGCCACTGAACAACTCTACGCGAACGCGATGAAGACTGCACTAGATATCAGATCAACAATTCTACAAGGCCAAAATGAAGCCGAACTTCATCCGAGTCATACCTGAGGCCCCCAGGACCCCGTCCGAACATACCAACAGGTCCTAAAATACTATACAAACTAAGTAGAAGCCTTTAATCACATCAAACAACATCGAAATTATGAATCACACCCCAATTCAAGCCTAATGAATTATTGAACTTCCAAATTTCTAAAACTAATGGCGAATCATACCAAATCAACTCCGGTTGACCTTAAATTTTACACACAAGTCATAAATAACACAATGGATCTATTCTGACTCCCAAAATAAAAATTCGAGCCCGGTATCAACAGAGTCAATTCTCGGTCAAACTTCATAACTTTCCAAACCTTCAACTTTCCAACGTTCGCCAATTCAAGCCAAAATGATCTACGGACCTCCAAATCCAAATTCAGACATATGTCTAAGTCCAAATTCACCATACAAAGCTATTTGGACCATCAAAACTCCATTTCATAGTCATTTACATAATAGTCAATATCCGATCAACTCTTTTAACTTAAGCTTCCAACCTCGGGACTTAAGTGTCCCAATTCACTCCGAAATATCCCCAGAACCAAACCAACCACCCCGGCAAGTCACGTAACCACAAGTGAACATAAAATAAGTAATAAACAGGGGAGCAAGGCTACAATACATAAGACGATCGGCCGGATCGTCACACCATTAGAGGCATATGGAGGATTTAAAGAGTATGAGTGCACCACTTCCTTTAGATAAATATATGATTAGACAATATAAATTATTTTACGATGACCCAAGTTGATGAGCAAACTCTAATTAATAAATTATTAGCATTATTTTTGTCTTCGATGACTTTTCATACTTTGAAAATTATTAATAATAGTATCATTACTTACAATTTTAAATATCTTACGTTATTGTAATGACTTGACCGATCATTTTGATCATTTCCACCTTGCTCGGTGGTGTATGTACTTCAGTTCAGAGTGTTTGGAAGAGTTTTAATTTTGCTGGTTTTTGGACTGATGATTCAAGTCTCGCAAATGCGAGATCTAATTTGCATTTGCTTACCTTGCATTTGCGTGGAGGGTTCCACATTTGAAAGGTGGGAGTGGAGCTGTTGTGTTCGCCTTTGCGAACTTATATATCACTTTTGAGGATCTATAGCTATGTATAGCTTTTTGGTTCGCAAACAAATGTGACACCTGTAGCTTGCTTGTATCTGTGTATTTTGGGACATAACTTCATTTTGTAATATTTTAAGCCCTAGACTCGGTGGGATGCGACTTTGTTGAGAGATTTTCATAATAAACTATTGGGTTTATGCTTTCTTTTCTGAAGTCATTTCTTCGATTGTCTTGGACTTCGCGTCTTTCACTTTTACACATTTGTCGCCTTCACGTTGGTCTTTTTTCGATGTTGCACATTTTCAGTGCGCACAAAGAGGTTGAGCAAAGACAGGGGTGGTGCATTTAAGCACAAAAGGGTATGGGCTAAGATGTGGTTCACCAAGAAAAAGGCTTAGGCTCAAAGGGGGAGATACTAGGGATCAATGTCAGTTGGCAGGCTTGAAAGGCTCAATCAGGTTAGAGAAGGTCTACGATACTTTCCTAAACCAAGCGTCATCATGATTTTGCCTCAACAAACATTCGGGAAAAGTTCACCACACAATGCACATGAAACGATGAGGTCGGCCTTGTTCTTACCCTAACTTTAGCACGAGACTTTTCAAACATCACTAAGGCATAATTAAGAGGTACCACAAGAATTTATGGTTTACCCAAAGTTGATCCTCTCCATCATACCACTTAAACACTTATTTCTTTCCTATGAGCACGCCTAACTGTGTTGGTACCAACCAAGTCATTTTTTATGATGATTTGTTTTCTTCTTTCTTTCTTTTGTCTCTTTTTTTTCTTCTCTTTTTTTTTTTTTGATTTTGATAAGTGGGGCAAAACCTGAGAAAGGGTTCCCCTTTTTTCCCTTTTTTTGGATTGTTTTTGATTTTGAATTAATAGATTTTTTTGGGGCTGATTATGGTGAATGGAATCGAACCCAAGAAAGGTTCTTGCTTGATTTTCTTTATTTGATTTTAATAAGTAAACCCAAGAGATTTCCTCTATTATTTCATCTATGCATGTTCTTTTCTCAGATCCATATGAGATGTTGTTCAAATCTCTCCGTTTTTACTAATCCAAAGGGTTGTTTTACTCTCTCTAATAATTGATATTTTCAGTCACTTTAATCTGTGAAGGTGGAATTCATTGAAGACAAATTTGTTACTTCAATTGTCCAAAAAGCACGCAAAAGCACATGTTGCTTGAACGGATACTCATTGCACTTACCGATTGTGACATATGATCGGAAAACCAAACGCATCCCTATTCCACTCGCCTACAGCGTCATCGCCATCTCCGTAAGCAGAAAGCCGATTTCCCCCAATATCCTATAATTGAATCCGCCACTTCTTCGTTGATTTTTAGCTTAAGGATTGACAGAGACTACTAATATTTTGCCCCATTCACTGTTCTTTCATTTTATGGAAAATTGTCTGCCTCTTTGTTGTTTAATACGAAAATTGGGGGATTTCCTTGTTCGTTCTTCAATAAGAAAATTGGGGGTTTAGCTAGGTTGTTCTCTCACTGACATAATCACAACATTTAAAGGTGTTATATCTCTTTCGATCCCTCATACCAAACCGCCACTGCTAGTACCGTCACCGCCGCCGTTGCTACAGAGGTTTCTCCCGCCAGCTTATTTCACTCACTTTTCTCCGACGGTTTTTTCTTCTTTTTTCGATAAAGAAATCGTGATTCAGATTGGGAATCAGGAGCTATAAGGTGAGATTTTTATCAATTTAAGGGTTTGTATTGTCCCTTTCAGCCAGCTCATCACAATCCATCACTGCCGGCCAGATTTTCATTATCTTCAAGGGCTACAATCCAGGTTCTATTATTCCTCTCTTGTCTTGTTATTTTAATAGTTTGATATTTTAGCGTAATTGTATCTCCTTGACTGCCTATTAGTTCTTGGATATTTAATTAGTATTTGTCCTAGCATTGTCAAATTAATTGCATTAGTGATAGCTTTGCCTACTTGTTTATATTGTTATTTACCTGTTTACATCTTTATTTTGAATCTTTATTCAATATATCCCCTAGTAGTTCTGCTCAAGTTTTGCACAACTTATTTTTGACATTTAGTTGTAGATTATAGTTCCCTTTAGTTCCATTATTTTATTTCATCACCTGTTTTCCTGTCCTTTAGTGGTAGATTATATTTCGGTTATTCATTTTATTTTTGTTTCTTATTTTCGGGATAGTGCTTGTGTAGTGACTCCTAGATTATAATTGCTTTNAGGGGGTAGGGGTGAGAGGGAGCTACTAGGCCGAGAGTGGGGTCTTGGATCATAGGAACTTTGACTAGTAAATCTGTTGAGTTAGTGAAGATTCTCGAGAAAAGGAAGATTAATATAGCTTGTGTACAGGAGACTAGGTTGGTAGGAGATAAGGCGCGGGATGTGGACAAGTTCAAACTATGTTATTCTGGGAGGGTGGGTGGCAGGAAAGGGGTAGGTATCTTGGTTGATAAGGTCCTTCATGAACTATTGAGGTTAGGAGGGTGAATGACAGGTTGATGACTATTAAGCTAGTTTTTGGAGGTTTTACTTTGAACATAATCAGTGCGTACGCACCCCAAGTAGGCTTGGATGAGGAGTTCAAGAGGTATTTTTTGGAGGATTTGGATGAGATGGTGCGTGGTATCGCGCATACCGAAAAGCTTTTCATTGGAGAAGATTTCAACGGCCACATTGGAGCGATGTCGGGGGAGGGGGGGTATGATGATGTGTATGGTGCCTTTGGTTTTAGAGATAGAAACGGAGGAGGAACATCTCTGTTGGACTTTCCTAGAGCATTTGATTTGGTGATAGCAAACTCGAGTTTCCCAAAGAAGAGTGAGCAATTGGTCACCTTCCAGAGTTCGGTGGCCGAGGCTCGGATTGATTATTTACTCTGTAGGAAGTCCGATAGAAGTCTTTGCGCATTGCAAGGTCATCCCGAGTGAGAACCTCTCTACCCCTCATAGGCTCCTGGTCATAGACCTTGAGATCACGAGGAAGAGGAGGAAGACGACGATGTATAGCCAATATAGGATCAAGTAGGGAGCCTTGACGGAAGCTAAAGCGCAGGAGTTAGGGGTCAAGCTGCTGATTGTGGGGGCTTGGAGGAGTAGTGGGGATGCAAGCGCTATGTGGACCACAACTATGTAGTGCATTAGAGAAGACGCGATAGAGGTATTAGGGGTCTCAAAGGGTTACTCTAGTGGTTACAAGGGAGACTGGTGGTGGAATGAAGAGGTGCAAGGAAAAGCGGAAACCAAGAAAGTGGTGTATCTGAAGCTAGTGGAAAGTGTATACGAGGAGGAGAGGAGGGTGAATAGGGAGCAATATAAGTTGGCTAAGAAAGAGGCAAAGCTAGCAGTTATGGCAGCCAAGACTGCAACCTTTCTTCATTTGTATGAGGAACTCAAGGGCCAAGGTGGGGATAAGAGGTTGTTCAGGTTAGCCAAGGCGCGAGAAAAGAAGGCTTGTGACTTGGACCAAGTGAAGTACATCAAGGACAAAGAAGGTAGAGTTTTGCTAGATGAGGGGCTTATCCGTCGGAGATGGAATACCTACTTCAATAGTCTCTTGAACAAGGGTGGGAGGGGGATAGGAACATTGTACAGGGTGATTTGGAACTCTCTGGGAGACGTTGTGACATTGGGCATTGTAGGAAGATTAGAGTTGATGAAGTGGAGGGGGCTATGCGTAAGATGAGCAGGGGCAAAGTGATCGGGCTAGATGAAATCCTGGTGGAGTGTTGGAAGAGTGCGGGAAAGGAAGGCTTGGAGTGTCTCACTATGTTATTTAATGTCATTTTTAGAATGAAGAAGATGTCCGAAGAGTGGAGGTGGAGTACGATGGTTTCTGTATACAAGAACAAGGGTGATATCCAAAATTGCAATAACTATCCAGGTATCAAGCTGCTTAGCCATACTATGTAAGACTGCGAAAGAATGGTAGAGCTAACGGTGAGGAGGAGTGTGTCTATTTTCGTGAACCAGTTCGGGTTTATGCCGGGGCGTTCAACTACAGAAGCCATCCACCTTGTTAGGAGATTGATGGAGCAGTATAGGGAGAGGAAGAAGGACTTGCATATGGTGTTCATCGACTTAGAGAAGGCGTACGATAAAGTTCCGAGGGAGGTTTTGTGGCGATGTTTAGAGGCTAGAGGTGTACTAGTTGCCTACGTTATGGTGATTAAGGACATGTATGATGGAGCAAAGTCCCGAGTGAGGACGGTGGGTGGGGACTCGGACCATTTTATGGTTATGATGGGATTGCATCAGGGGTCGGCACTTAGCCCTTTTTTATTTGCCCTGGCGATGGACGAACTGATGCGCCACATCTAATGGGAGGTGCCGTAGTTCATGCTATTTGCAGATGATATTGTATTGATTGACGAGATACGAGGCGGTGTGATCGCACAATTAGAGGTATGGAGGCAAACCCTGGAGTCTAAAGGTTTCGAGTTGAGCACGACCAAGACATAATACTTGGAGTGTAAGTTCAGTGGTGAGACTCAAGGAGGGGAAGGGGAGGTGAGGCTAGAATCGCAGGTCATCCCTAGGAGAGGAAGTTTTAAGTACCTTGAGTCTATTATTTAGGGGGATGGGGAGATTGATGAAGATGTCACACATCGTATAGGGGCGGGATGGATGAAATGGAGACTCGCTTCCGGTATTTTGTGTGACAAGAAGGTGCTACCGAAACTTAAAGGTCAGTTCTATAGAGTGGTGGTCAGACCAACGATATTGTATGTAGCTGAGTGTTGGCCAGTCAAGATCACTCATGTCCAGAATATGAAGGTAGCAGAGATAAGGATGTTGAGATGGATGTACCGGTATACCAGGTATGATAGGATTAGAAATGGGGTTATTTGCTACAAGGTGGGTGTGGCCCCTATTGAGGACAAGATGTGGGAAGCGCGCTTAGGTGGTTTGGTCATGTGAGGAGGAGGAGCACTGACGCCCCAGTGAGAAGGCGTGAGAGGTTGACATTGAATGGCCTACAGAGAGGTGGAGGTAGGCAAAACAAGAGGTGGGGGAGAGGTGAATAGGAAAGACACGGCGCAACTTCAGTTGACCGAGGACATGACCTTTAATAGGAAGGTATGGAGGTCGAGGATTAGGGTAGTAGAGTAGGTAGTCTAGAGTGTTCATAACAGTAGTATTGGCATGCAGTCTCTCTTTCTATTGGTAGTAGGTTTCTATGACTAACCGTTGTTTTCTTTCATTGTTGATCACCTTACTATCTTATTGTCTTTATTATGCTTTTATATGGCTTTTGGTGCTATCCCTTCTTGTCTGTAATTTTATTAATGTTGTGCTTATACTTTCCTGAGCCGAGCATCTATTGGAAACAACCTCTCTATCCTCATAAGGTAGGGGTAAGGTCTGCGTACACACTACCCTCCTCAAACCCTATAGTGTGGGATAATACTTGATATGTTGTTGTTGTTGTTGTTGTTGTAATAAGTAAACCCAAGGAGGGTTTTGACCCCCTTTTTTAAATTTTTGAAAGATGAGATCGAACCCATGAAGGATTCTCGATTTTTGTTTTTGGCTTCTTCCTTTTATTTGAAAGAATGGAAATCGAACCCACGAAAGATTCTTGTTTCCCCCCTCCCCCTTTTTTAATTTGAAGGATCAAAAACCGAAACCATGAATAGTTCTTGATTTCCTCCTCTTTTTTTGAAAGATTGGAAACCGAACCCAATAAAGGTTCTTGATTCCCTTCTCTTTTGGTTTGATTTTTTTTTATTTTCTGAAAGATGAGACCGAACCCAAGGGAAGGGTGTCAACTTTCATTTTGGATTCTCTTTCTTTTTAAAAAAAAAAATCGAGACCGAACTCGAAGGTTTCCTTGTATCTTTATCACGACACAAAAATTTAACTAGTCGTGATGGCATCTAACCCAACCCTCTAGGTAAGCCAATTAATAACAACACAATCCAAATGAGATTACTAGGAAATAAATGATGAATTAACTGAACTTTTATACAATAACCCAAGGACTGGTAGTACAAGTCATGAGCCACTAAGAAATAGATTTACAAAACTGAAATGAATTAATTACAACATTTGTTTGGAATGTACATGAACAAAATTAAAATCTAAAGCTACCAAGGACAAGTGATAGCCATATACGGAACACAAGTACGTCTTCAGTGCCAGCTCCCGTCATCCACAGGATCTCAATTCATAGATCTGCACGCAAGGTGCAGAATTGTGGTATGAGTAAAACCGACCCCATGTACTCAATAAGTATCGTAACTAACCTCAGCGAAGTAATAGAAGCAATAATTATAAATGATACTCGTTATCACCTGTACAATTCATAATTTCAACAACTATAGAACTTATATATGATCAAATGAGGAAAATCTCAGGTATAAACACCTTGTTGCTCATAATTCTTTGTTTTAAATTGATCTGCTCAGTCAACAATCCATCATATAAGGAAGATATGCATGTATACATGGTAAGTGGTCAAGGAAATTACAAGTAAAGATGAAATGCAATAACCAAATATCAGTCCGTTGTGGCGCGCAACCTGATCCAAATAACAATAAGACAATAAGGCCTATTGCGGCATGCAACTCGATCCAAATAATAGTAACTAGATCTCCCAGAGCTCACATCAACTAGAAAACCTGTCGGTTTCTCACAACCCGGGTGTACACCATCAAGAGAGAAACATGTGAGGGTGACTCTCGGAGGATGGATCCATATCCACGCGCTGCACGGACAACTCACTTGCTAATAATATCAAATGCACAGATAACTCACGTGATGCACAGACAACTCATGTGCTAATAATATTAATATATGGATCTGCACGGGTAACTCACGTGCTGCACGGACAACTCACGTGCTAATAATATAACAACCGCATGGAAAACTCACGTGCTAATAGTCACAATCCATCCGGCGTGGTCATATGATCAATATTACAATCTGCTCGACGTGTTCACAGGCACAATATCACAATCTGCCCTGCGTGCTCATAGGCATAATATGACAATCCGTCTGGCATGTTCATAGGCATAATATCACAATCCTCCAGGCATGGTCACAAGAACAATATCACAATCTACCCGCGTGGTCACATGCTACTGGTCCAAACCATTTCACATATAAAGCAGATATGTAAGAATACATGTACATGATCGAAGAACATCAAATTTCATAATCTTGGACTAGTATAAGTGACATGCTAAAGTGTATGCATGTGCAAGTGTGATATCATAACTTAAAACAGGTGAATACATCACAAAATAGAAGCTATCAGTCTAAATTAGGAGATCAACCTCTATGCAACCTCAAACATGGCTCAAATAGCTCAGAACAGCGGGTACAAATAAGAGATACATCACAATATGAGGCTTATATATCAATTCAAGACATGTCATAGCATAAGCACTACCCCGAGCATGGATAAATACCATTGTTCTTACACGTGGGCTCAACCCCCACACAAATGCACCCATAACACGTAGCTATGACAAATAAATCAAGAAACTAGTTTAGATAGGATACTTATATCCATGCTATACCAAAAACCGAGCAAGCCAAACACCACTCTAGAACTGCCATCCCGCGCGTATCAACCTCTGAACGGCTCGAAACTAGCCAAAAACAACTCAAAAATATTAAATAATGGCAAAGGAAACCAATGCAAATGATAAAGGTTGAATCTTTAACCAATTATTCAACCAATTCGAATACGAGTCCAACCATACTATTTTCACTCAATTCTGACTCCGAATCGATGTTCAAGCGTCAAAAATTTACTTTTTGGATGTTTAGACAAAACCCCCTATTTCTCTTTCAAAATCATCAATAAAATGCCAAAATCGAAGATAGAATCATAAATCTGAGTAGAAAGTACTTACCCCAGTCCATGTGGTGAAAATTCTCTCTAAAATCTCCCAAATCCGAGCTCCCCAACACAAAATGTGATAAAATAACTCAAAGTCCAAAAATAGAGTACTTATAGGTCTGCTCTAGGTATACTCTTCGCAATCGCGGAACCAGCTTCGCGATCGCGAAGCACAAACTCCACTGCCCACAAAATTAATCTTCACGTTCGTGGCACCATCCTCGTGAACGAGATTCACAGCTAACACCAAACATCGCGAAGGAGGCACCCTCTGCACGATCGCGATGAACAAGGCCTCCAGCTCTAGCTCCCAGCTCAACACTACGCGACCGCGATGCCACAAGCACGAACGCGATGCTCACGTACCCATAACCTACACGAACACGATCCCTGAGTCGCGAATGCGATAAAGAAAGTACCCAGCTACAGACTTAGCCTACGCGATCACGTCTATATCATCGCGAACGCTAAGAATAATTGAGGCATCAGATAACATTAGAAAACTAGCTATGCATGAAGCTCTGAAATGATCCAAAACCACCCCGAATCTCACTCGAGCCCCTCGGGATCCCGTCCGAACATACCAATAAGTCTCAAAACATAACACGGATCTACTCGAGGCCTCAAACCACACATAACAACATCAAAACCACGAATCACACCTAAAATAAAACATAATGAACTTTTGAACTTTCAACTTCCAAAACTCGTGGCAAACCATATCAAATCAACTCGGAATGACATCAAATTTTGCACACATGCTCCAAATCACATGAAGAACCTATTCCAACTTCCGAA